ACGTGAAAGTTTTTAAGTAGTATAATGCATATTAATATAATGTAATATAGGTTTTGTAAGTATTGTAAATACTAGATTTAGGTAATTAATTGTACAATCAATACTTTATACTATAATTAATTATACAACTAATATAATTGATATCTTACAGAAATTAAATATGTTCACCCACAGACGAAACGTGAAAGTTTCGCTTGACTTGGTGTTAGCTGAACAGTGGCAAAGGGTGAAAAGTAAATTTTTGCTAAGAAAAGTTTCAAATATTTCTGAATTAATTTAATTACACTCTGTTTTCGTGTCAGCGAGTAAACAAGGAGGAATTGCGATCGAGAAACGGATAAAATAAATGAACAACAAGGGAGCGCGTAACGAAGCTTTCTTTATTCATAGGGTGTAAATTTTACTCCAATTTCGATTTTAACGAAAACTTCCACTGCTGTTCAAAACAGCTGCTGTTGTTGCATGATATTGGCGCACGACAATTGAATCTTATTTCTCGACGAGTTACATTTGGTTTGATTCATTCAACTGACCAACAATTTCTTTTTAATCATTCTTCCCTATTCTTTCATACTTGGAGCATTCTTTGCATGTTTGAATACCCATTTATAGCACGTCCTTTTACACATTTTTGTTTTCAATAACAAGAACTTTGCAGGTCTAAAAGATATATTTAAAAATTGCAAGGTTACTAGGAGGATTAAATTTCATGAGAGACTTTTTGATTTATATTTTCGAGAAAATCTGATTCCTTGAAAAAGGATAATGTAATAAAATTTCTTTTTTTGGAAAGACAAAACCCGATAAAACACAATTTTTTGTGTTTCTACGGTGCAAGCACTCGGCGAAACATCGTTTAATGTTAAAAATCCGTGTATGTGTTCAATACAATAAGAAACCGCTTAACAAATTCCGTCGATATCGATCGCACTATCGTCATTGAGCAGAAGAAGGATCGCGTCAGTGACAAAGAAGCATCGAAAACTCGCTCGTATTTACGTACGACGAGCACGTAACGAAAATGGAATGTGCATCACAACTCGTTCTGCACCTGTCTGATTTCTGAATGCCATTCGTGTCCATACGAATCGAACGAATGTCCAGTACGAAGAAGTCCTCGTCGTATCAATCACTCGAAGAAAGAGAGATAGAGATAGAGAGAAAGAGAGAGAGAGAGACACGTAAACGATGGCAAATTCTGCGTGTAACAGATTGACAATAATTTGTCGGCAAACTAACACGACGTCTCGACTTCTCCTTCTTGTTAACAATCGTGTTTTCACTGCTTAGGTAAGATATCGATTTCGATTTCGATCGTGCAAAAACCGTGAAACCAACTCGTGGCATTCCACATTAGAACACGATCACACGTAGTGTGATTCCTGCAATAGTGTAAAATATAATATTACAATATATATTATAATTTTATATAAAATTTATATAATTATAATATAATATAAATTATATTATACATATAATAATATAATATATATAATATATATAATATAATATATATAAAAATATAATATAATATAGAATGCAATAATATAAAAATTCTTCTAGTGGAGAAGAAAAGAACTGTTCGTTTATTTATTATTATTATTTGAGATCAATTTTTGATCACACTTATTGAAGCAATAATGTAAAATATAACATTACAATATATATTATAATTTTATATAAAATTTATATAATTGTAATATAATATAAATTATATTATATATATAATGTATATAATAATATAATATAAAACATTATAACATATATAAAAATATAATACAATGCAATAATATAAAAATTTTTCTAATGGAGAAGAAACTGTTCGTTTATCGTATAACAATAAACTTTTCTTCTCGCTTTAAAAATGGGTGCCTTTGTTTTCAAAATCGCCATCATTCGAACTGTCTATTTCGTCATAGAAATATATTTATAATTCAAACTTCGTTTGACTACTGAAAATTTCCTTAACTGCATTTAATTTAATATTATACTTTCTAACCGTTGTTTGTAATTAATTCCATTTCGAAATATCCAAAACGAAAATAATTTACGCACCTCTAATTCGAATAACTATCAGGCAAACTAAATTGAAACCCAGTGCGAATCTTACGGAATAGTAATTTGATTCTACGGATATAGGAAACATCATCGTATACCAACATTTCGAAAATTCTAAAAAACACTCGAAAGATCCGAATCCTAGGATTTAAGAAGTGGTCAGAAATGAGGGAAACGTGATATTGAATTTAAGAGTATTGAAAAAGCAACTGCGTTGAATTTCGTCTGTCTCTCGACCAGACGTCGAATCCCCGAGTCCCGAAAACCGTTTGAAATTATCACGCTCGAAACTCGGAATAACCGAGATCACGAAAACCGAGCAATTCTCAAATTGCTGGCAAGTTAATCGTTCTCGATTAACTAGAACCTCGACTGGTTATGCAGAGCTGAAGATAATTAATCAGCCGGTCTAAAGTGGGCGTTCTAACAACCAGACGCACACACATACACAACCGCGCGACCTCTCGCGAATGCAGATCGCGTTGACAGACTCGTATTCGTTGGCCTGATTCGAACCGAACAATTGCCATCCGCGTGGCAAACGTTACTTTTTGCAAGTCAAATCGACGAGCACTTTCGACGCCTCCTCGAGGTTCGAAAAAATCACGATCATCAGAGGAGATTTCTTCTCCAAGTCTCGCAATGGGGTGTCGTGTATATATAATTGACCCTGATTGTCCAAAAATACTGACATAAATAAATAAATAAACGAAAATATCTATTAATACCAGAATATATTCAGAATATATTCTGTGCACGTGAGTTATTATAATTTAAATGATAATTAGAATAGATACTGTCCGGACAGAAATTAATATAAATTAACTTAATATCATAAATATTATTTTAAAAGAAAGAAATTAATATAAATTAACTTAATATCATAAATATTATTTTATAAGAAAGAAATTAATATATATTAACTTAATATTATAAATATTCTTTTATAAGAAAGAAATTAATATAAATTAACTTAATATCATAAATATTATTTTATAAGAAAGAAATTAATATAAATTAACTTAATATTATAAATATTACAGGTATATGTTATATTAAGTTAAATTAATATTGTAAATATTTCAAATTAGCTTTGTTCAATTTTCGATCGTGGAACATTTAAAGTCACTTGATAATCTTATCATTTTAAAGAAGAATGGTCTACATATTGAATTCGTGCTGAAATCTATCATTTAGTAGCAGAATTTCCTCAGAAAAGAAGATAAAACAAATCGCAGAAAATAATTAATATAAATTAACCTGATATTGTAAATATTACAGATGTATGTTATTAAGATATTAAGTTAAATTAATATTGTAAATATTGCAAATTAGCTTTGTCTAATTTTTAATCGTGGAACAGTTAAAGTCACTTGATAGTCTTATAATTTTAAAGAAGAATGATCTGACATATTGAATTCGTGCTGAAATCTATCATTCAGTATCAGAATTGCCTCAGAATAGAAGATAAAATAAATCGCATGAAGAATCTAGAGACAACGGAAAATCGACGTGTATTGTCACAGAGGAAGATACAGCTGCTACTAGAAAACATAGTTTTCCAAGTGTGCATTAATTCGTTCCCGGGGAAAAAAAAAAAAAAAAAAAAAAACAGGAAATGTCTTTCGCTTTCGATTCGCTTCAAATCGCTCGCCGCCTCCGCGAGTCATTTAAATTTCATATTTTTGTCATCTTCACGATCTCAATTGCGAATCGGCGACCCAGTAAGCTTCCTTGAGGATTTAATGAGCTTCGTGAGCTGATCCCCGGAGGCTGAGACTTCCGAGCGAATTGCTGATGAAGCTGGTCCAACGATTGTTCGAGACTCTGTCGTTCGCGAGTAGGTATTTCGACACCTGGCGCAATATTAACCTCAGGCATTACATTCAAACTGTGAATTTTGGAAAATCTGTATCTCTGAACGGAAAGGGAACCTCGGTAGGAAATTGTAACCATTGAATATTGTTGAATTAGGAGTCGTTGTTTGTCTCCTTGGCATTTAAATACTAAAAAAAAATTCTATCTGCAAAGAATTGGTCATTGAAAGGAGGAATCGAAAAACAAAGATTCTGAGTATCGATAAAATCGGTAATTCTGACGAGATGAAAAAAAAAAAAAAAACTAACAACGAGAATGGTTAAGATAAAGTTTATGGCCATTGGGGCACCTCTAGGCAGATGAGTAGCACATGCACAAAATGGCTGCCGATGCACATGATCACCGAAGAGTACCGAGAACATGTCTCGCGACGACAGAATTGTGTTTCGAGTCTTAAACTATCGAGACCAAGGAAGGGAACGGGAACTATTGTCAAACATCGCGCGAATACTTCGTATTTCTATTTTCCAACAACGTGAACGGAAAGGCGATAAATTTATTTGTTTTCGTTGAAGATTTCACGAGATAGAATCAAGATTAAATAACGAGGAAGCGCAAAATTGAAAACAATAAAAATTGAGAGGGTGTATAAAATTGAAAGATAATAAAAAAAGGTCTCAAGAAAGAAGTTAAAGTCTTAAAAAATTAAGATTCCTTGAGAAGTTTAGATAATAATAAAATAGAATTGATGTTAAAATAAAGAAGGGAAAAAAGAATCAAGAAATGAGTAGCGAGAGCCGAGTAGTAGTATAAAATTGAAACATAGCAAAACCAATCTAGAAAAATAATAACAAATACCTCGTTCACGAGAGAAGAACCTGTTTCTTAAGAAGAACATCGGCTTTTTCATTTCCAGGGGCAACGCGATCGACGAAGAGTCCCCAAGCTCGATCACCGGGTCGCTGACAGTGGCCGCATCGTCCTCGGGGGACATTTCTCTGGATGCATCCGAAAACATCGATCAACCACTGCCCTCCAGCACCGCGACTGACCCCACCACCCAAAGATTCGAACCGAAAGCAAACGAGCGGCACTCTCAATCCCCGAACATCCTCAACGAGTCCACCAAACCTCCGGTACAACGATTCAAATCGACACCGATCGACACTCCGACACTTCTATTAAAAAAATCAAGTCCAGACAAATCGTTCGAGCTGCGAAGATTCTCAGACATAGAGAACAAAGTGACCATCAAGTTACCATCGGGAGAGACGTTGAAAGATCCGAGGAATCCTGAAGAATCCGTCAGAGTTCCGTCGAGCCCCGAGGACACGTCCGACCGAGAGATCGTCGAGGTTAGAAAGGACAGTGCTCTGTTCCTGGAGGAGGCGCAAGGTTTGCCCGCGCTCCGCGAGAACCTTAAATCGCGTGGCGCAGGGATCGTCAGCCCTAGGAGAGGGAGCAGCGGATACGAGAGCAATCTGGGGACATTCGACGAGGACAGAAGGAACTCGTCATCCGTCGACGTTTTGCAGGACCCGTCGTTTCTGAAAGAGAGACGCAGGTCTTCCGCCAGTCTAAAACGATTGAACTCGAGAGTGGTGTTGGGCAGAGCCGAGGAGAGTTTAACCGAGGACGTAGAGATCGAAAGGATGCCCACTACGGAGGTTCACTGGGAAGTGTCTGGGGCTGGGCTCGAGATGCCAAACATCGAGGAGGTTAAAGAGGTTTTTAGAGACGATACTTCTATCAAACAGGTGAAGAGAGATCTGCACTTCCCTCCGAAAAACACGTCGGAGACTACTATTGAAACAACTATTGAACATCAGGACACGTCGTCTGGCCTCTTTGAGTCTTCTCTCGGTGACTCGACCAACCGTCTCTCGTTCTCTCCAGCTTCGAGGAGTTCGACTCAACTAGCTTCACGTTTACCAACACCAACGTTCCTGGAGTCAAGTTCAAGAAACCCTGACAGACTCGGTGGCAAGTCATGCGACGTTGCTGCGACGATGGATTCGACAGGATCGAGGAACGTATCTCCGAATACATCGTCGCTGAAGAACAGTGCGTCCAGCGATATTCAGACGCCGGCGTCTGACAAAACTGCCGACGATTCGAACGTAAGAGAGGCGATTTCATCTGGAGAGGCTGGCACGAGCCAGGGGAGTCACAACGCCAGTCAAAACGTGTCAGTCAGACCTATTTATCCGTACTGTCCTTGTTCGCCGTACGGGAGCCCTCAGGGGAGTCCTAGGAACAGAAGGAAGCCTCTGAGAGAGAGCAGGAGAGTTTCCATCGACAACAAGGAGGGAGCTCTTCAGCTGAATCAGTATAAATTGTTGGACAACATTGGTCAGGTGAGTTTTCGACTGATTGTTTAATTGTTCGTATTGTTGTACGATTTTCTGATATTAGGGAAGATCAAGAGAAGAACTTTGATCTGGTATAATTAAAAATGAAAGCAATTCGTTTGATTGATAATTTGAACAAATTGATGAAATTTTATGGAGACGCAGCAATAAGTAGTTCTTAGATAATACATTATTAAATAATAATGTGTAATAATTGAAAATGATATATTAAACGACGAATAATTATTATTAGAACACAGTAACGTATCATTTAACGAACCAGATGAAATATTAAATCATACATTAAGTGTGAGGTCACTTTAATGAAACATTGATCTCAAGTACAAGAAATATTCGTTACGACAAAAGTTGCAAACTATACGTACTATGCATCAGAGATTCCAAATTCTTAATTATTATTCCTTCGAAATAACATTTTCAACCCAGCGTGCGAACGATTCTAGAACTAAAATCATCAAAAACATTTAATTTTGAAATACATGAAGGGTCGCACACGTGCCGTGATATTCAAGTACCGATAATTGCGAATGTAATTAATACTGAAAATTGAAACCCACCCAGTTTCAACGCTGCTCTCGCGCGACATAAAGGTCGGAACGGAAACGCAACACCCAACTCGGAGACAGTGATAAAATCCTTACAGAACGACAATCACGACATTTCATATCACGAAAATTAAACAACGCTCTGGTAATTAACAATTTAAACGTTTTGTTTTTCGTCGACATTTACTTCACACGTGTAAAAACGTAAAATCTCTGCGACGATGAAACTGTGTCAAAATGAAAGAGATTCGTCCAATTAAACTTTTTCATTTTCAAGAATTTTTTTTGTACCGACCATTTCATACCTCGCCCTCGTATATTTTCGCTGTTACAGGGCTCCTACGGGATCGTGAAACTTGTTTACAACGAAGAAGACGAGACCCATTACGCGATGAAGATTCTCAGTANAGAAGAAGCTAATGAAAAAGGCGGGTGTCTTCGGTAGAATGATCCCGGGGAAAAAGGGATCGGCTAACCCTTTGGCCAAGGTTTACAGAGAGATTGCCTTGTTGAAGAAACTGGATCATCCGAACGTCGTGAAACTGGTGGAAGTTCTCGACGATCCAGACGAGGACAACCTTTACCTTGTCTTCGAACTGGTCCAGAGGGGCGAGATACTGCAGGTGCCCACCGACAAACCTCTCGACGAGGAAACTGCCAGGAAGAACTTTCGCGACATCGTGATGGGCGTGGAATACCGTGAGTAAAAGTGTACAAATTATATTTCGACTTGACTACATTTTATATATTTGATTCGAGTTGGCAGAATTGTTGGTAACATTCAACAGAATAAACTAGCAGATATTACTTTATTTCAGTCAGACAACTTCGACACAAGACTTGGTTTTACAGTTTTCCGTTTTGTATATTTCGTACGTAATTCATTCTCCCTCTTATCCTCTCTCACCTTATACTGCTTTCATTAATAACTGGTGCTTTGTATTATATTATATTAGCTGATATCTCCTTAGCTGCTACCATTCCTCTCTTTTAATTCTTCTTTTCCTTTTTTACCCTCTTTGTCCCACTTCCTTTGTCTTATTACTTCCTCTGCTTTCTTTCCTCACTCTCTCTTCTTTCGTTTTTCCTTATCCTCTTAGAATTCTTTTCTCTCCGCCCAACTCGGCATAATAAATCCGTTTTGTTCCTTGAAATTTTAATCGCACGAAATGATATTTACTCGAGATATTCCATGGAATAATTTTGAACGTTCAATCGTCGCGTTAAAATAATTTTAAACGAAATTCGTGGATTCTCAATTGTTCCAGTACATTATCAGAGGATAGTTCATCGCGACATAAAACCGAGCAACCTGTTGGTGGACAGTGACGGTCGCATCAAGATCGCGGATTTAGGCGTTAGCACGGAACTGAGGGCGTGCGGAGAATTACTGTCAGGACCGACCGGAACCCCGGCGTTCGCGGCACCTGAAACTACAATGCCTGGCGTTCATTACTCTGGAACGGTAAGTACCGACGATGTACGAGGCGATCTGATCTCATTCCATGGAAATAGCAACATTATTCTATCAATATTTCGAAGAGTCTAAAAATCCAAAAACATTCGAAAGACCCTAATTCTAGAATTTAAGAAGAGGTCAGAAATGTGAGAAACGTGAAATTGAAATTAAGAGTATTGAGAAAACAATTGCGTCGAATTTCGTGTGTTTCAGTTATGCGATATATGGTCGATGGGAGTGACACTGTACTGTTTGGTGACCGGAAGAATCCCCTGGGATGGCACTGGAAGTATAATTGGCGTGCAAGCGGCGATACGCAACGAACCGCTAAAATTTCCAGAAAAGCCGGTCATTTCGAAAGATCTCCGCGATTTAATCTCGAGGATGCTGAACAAGAATTCGCTCGAGAGAATCACGTTGTCAGAGATCAAGGAGCATATCTGGCTGACAAATTGTGGCGCTGAACCACTGCCAAGTGAGGCTGATAACTGTCAACTTCCGGTTACCGTTACGGACGAAGAAGTGGAACGAGTTGTCACGAAGATACCCAAGCTCGTCACACTGATTCTTATCAAAACAATGCTGAGACAGCACAGCTTCCAAGTAAGTGGAATTCTATTCGTTAAAACGATGCCAAATTTGTTAATTTATTTAACGCAATTGCAAATTTAATTGTATGATCGTGAGAAGAAGTAATTTAATTCGATAATTGATACTCACAAGGTTAACATGTCGAATTTATTTCCTATTTGGTGCTATTAATGAATTATTAAAATAATTATTAAAAGATACTATAATTCATGTTACAACAATGTAGTACTGATTGGTATAATTACAACAGAACAAATTAATTCAAGACCTATCACAATTAAAGACGAGAATTTAACGTTTGAAATTTAGCGCCTCGATTTGAGTTTGTGTTATTGTTTAATCTCTTCATTAAAGTGTTTATTCGAGATAAATGCAAATGTGACTAGGAGGCAATGAATACAGACTGGTTTCGGTGAAGGCCCGCCTATTAGCTAATTTCTATAACCGCGAAAGGTCAAAGGGGAAGTTATTATTAATGATTCCGACTGACGAACTTTCGCTATTTAGCTCGCGAAACTCTTTTTCCAATTCTTTCATTTGACCTTAATACTCGAGGTTGTTAAAACGTTTACCTATATACCATGAAAATTTTCTCGCCCACTTTTTTTCCCGCTGATTGTCTCTCCGCTTTAGTTTCGTGGATATTGAGACTAAGCGGTAGTTACTGTCGCGTTGTCACCTGTAATTGCATCGGTGGGAAATGGAGCTTTTGATTCTCGTAACCTCCCGTGCGACAGACTATTCGCCCTTCATCCGCGGTCAACTTTATCGTCGATACGATAAAAACAGGAATAGCGTAGACGTCGTCGATAAAGTACCATAAAATTCTACTAGACTCCCCCCGTAGGTCTTCAAATGATCTGCGTTGGCTGGGGATAAAGTGACAACAAGAAACCGAAAAAAAAAAAAAAAATTGGAAAGCACAACGAGTTGGATATTTCTCGAATTTTTATAATACACAAGTAATTGTAGAAACTCGAATCTGAATTCGCAAGAGTTGTCGAATTCTGTCGCTAATCAGTAGATTACTTTTCATTTGACGATCGTCAGTGGAATGTACTCGTCATGCACTCTGTACAGTAATCATCGATTATACAATTCGTTGATCTCGTTGCGTCACGAGTGTCGAGTTTCTTCTCGCGTAGAAGGCTTTGCGTGTCGAGCGTTATACAGTCGTTTGGAGCGATTCGATTTCGGTTACGATGGAAAAGTCGGCCATTGAATTTCAATCGTGACCGACATTTGATCTCGCGCTCGGGTCGGCGAACAACGAGAGAGGTCAAGCCTCTCTGTTTCTCTGTTTATGACGGGATAGTCGTCGCGACGGCGTGGAAAAGCTGCCGCGAGTTCTCGCCGCGGCGTTACTTCTCTGGCCTTATTATTTGATGAGCAGCAGCCAGTCGATATCAACCGAGTTCAAGGGAGGTTGACGGCTCCATAAACATGGCAATAACGCCGCTCGAGTGTCGATGTCATAAAAGAGTGAACTCTTTTTCTCATTTTATTTCTCTTTCTCTTCTCTCTCTTTCTCTTCTCTTTTCTCTCTTTCTCTTCTCTTCTGCTTCTCTTATCAGCTTCCATCCAAGGTTGACACGATTTCTGACGAAAATAGATTGGAAATTCTTAAAGAATTTCGAGCGAATAACGAGATCTTTTGTGAAATCCTGTTCTTCGAATCGAGAATAACGTTCAACAACGAAGAATTATCCGATCCTTCGAGTCCCTTTTATTTCTGCTTTAATAATGTCACGTTTCGTAAACTTTTTCATGCAATGAGATTTCGAAAAGATCTTGCACTATTCTTGTATCTTGCGAGTATTAGACAATCTGTAGCAATGGAATTGAATTTTTTAAAACAATTTTCAAATGACATTGTCGCAATATTTCGTTTTAAAGTTATTCGAAAAATTCTGTCTGACTTTTCTAACGGAGCGCAAATATTTTGCGCGAAAATTATTAGCGATCATCGTTGTACAAATTTCCTAACTAACGATGGTTTATTTTCCGATTCTCAGAATCCTTTTCTACCGAAGGAAAGTGAAAAAACGACAGGTACCGAGGAGACCTCGCCAGAAAGGAAGACGACAAAAAATCCAATGTGGGAACGATTTTCAAAAACAGGCAGGAGCAAGTCCGCGCCGGGTTTTTACAACTGGCAAACAAATCGCAGGTGAATAATCCGAATCATACATCTTTCGGCGATTTTTTGTAATTATTATCTTTCCCTCTGTGTTTTGAAAAACTTTCAGACAATTATCCATAAACAGTCCTCTATCTCCGGTGATGGAAGCGCCGAATCAAGAAACGGAGGTCGAGGAACGGCACGAAAAATCTCGAAACTGACACATCGAAGGAAATCACGATTGACACACGCAGAACGAGTCGACTTAATAAATAATGATCGAGTAAAAGTGTCTATTTTTAAAATAGCGTTAACACTTTGTGCGTTCTTTTACACGAAAATTAAAATTAATTAACAAATCTCGTTAAATATATATACACACACATATATATATACACATCTTTCCGTCCTGAGATGTTTCTTTAGCGTTTCTAAGCGTTAAGCATTATTCAATGAATTTCCAAAATATTCCAATTTGATAAAGCATATTAAAAAAAAAAAAAAAAACGAAAGAATTGGCTTCGAAACAGCCACGTTTCGCAAAGACAGCTGTATCTTTCGACCAATCGAAACATTGTGTCGGAGGTATTATGAGATTATAAATGATTTACCGAGCACCAGTCGATGCCAATTATTCCGCTGTGCGAGTTTCAGTCGACAAACGGCTTAATTGCAGGCAAATATCCATTTGCCAGTCGACGTCCTTAATTTATGAAACTTGAAAGTAAAGGAACTTTAGGAAACGGCTACAGCTGCAGAACAATTGGAGAAAGGACAAGCCGACATTAATTTAAGAAACCTTATGAAACGCTGTCGATGGCGTAGACTGTCGAATCAACGAGAGTATAAATAAAGTTAGATCATTCTCGGCTCGAACCGAATTTTCAAACGTGAGGAAGTAACTTAAATTCAAGGGCCATTAAGCACGATGAATATCAATTGTCTCTTTATCTTTCCCGATCAATTCCTAGTCTCTGAGTAAATATTAAATAAAGATTGATGAAATATGTTTTTCGAAATGTTGTTGTAAAATACTTGCAAAATTTATTTGGATAGGACCGTGTATAATTTCTCAAGCACCAGGAAAACACAAGACAATTGCAACCGAGATTAAATCTGGTACCATGAGTGAGCTTAGTTTATTCTCTCTGGGATTCTATTCTACATTTTCCTTTACAAGCAGCAACAGTAATTTAAATGTATATTTAAATGTACGTAACTTTGAAAAAAGATTTACACAATGATTAGAAAATGTTCAATCATTATGTCGTGTTAATGCAATAATCTCTTTCTCCCTCGACAAAAGTTACTTAGACTTCGTTAATTATTTACTAAGTGCGTGTGACACGGAACGTTGCCATAGAATCGGTACGATTCGGAGACCTTTTACCATACTTGGCATCTGTTCCTCCAAGCAAGACACGGAAGACAAAACAACACTCTCTACAGACACGATGTGGTTGACGTAACTAGACAAGCTCTTCAACTCAAAGCGGATGAAATTTACGGTGCTCTAGTAGAATCATTC